TGAATCTCTGTTCACTTCCCCAGGGCGAGTGCATTAACATTTGTTACGTAAAAAATCATCTGAGTACCTTATTTAATCATTGCTTTTCAGAGTTTACCTGACACTTCCCAGGTCTTTTCTGTCTTCAGGGAAAGTTCTGCGAGAGAAGTTTCTAGTATTCTGCTGGTGTATGAAACTGTGTCTGCATGTGCTGATTGGTGCTGTGCTGGTCACATAACATAAAAAAAGGCTTTCAGAATAGAGAATTATAATAAATAATTATTAGCAACAAGGTGTTTTAAAGCTTCATACAAATTTATATTTCAAAGCAAATGTTTATAATATTTTTGCAATAATATGGTGTTGACTGACAATAGCTTTCACTTTGTTCACACTGTAAAGAGATCTGGAGGAGGTTCTGCCAATCACAGGGTTTGCTACACCCCTACAGCCTCTGTGTATGTGCTGGGCTTAGCAGGGAGGTGAAACCTCCATCAATCACTATCTTATACCCCCATAGTGTTCAACAATATGTGTACATGGAGGAGGATGGAGGGAGGGGGAGTGTCATTTACCACTTTGTATATGCCCACATGAGTGACTCTATAGACATGTGGGCTGCACAGGTAAGAAAAAGGAGGAAATTAACTGCTTTGACGGGTGCTGAAACTGGAGCATGCTCAGTAGATGTCAACAGCTGGTCTACACAATCCCATCTTCAGCAAGTGCAGAAAGTGAACAGCAGGATCAACCAGGATTTTTTTCATCCTAGAGAAAACAAGTGCTCTAATGAATGTGTATGAACAAAATGTATGATAGCATGTATTATAGCATGTACAGTTTTTTTTATGATTTGGATTTACTGACACTTTAAAATCCCCCATTATTAAGGTAATAATATATATAAAAATAAACAAAATTACCACTAGCCATGCCCTCTTAAAAAAATTTATTTTACAAAACCGTATGCAAAAATTACAGGTATACCTATCCCCAATAAAAGAATCCTCCATACCTCCCCCCTAACTGAGAAGTCCCCATAATACACAATATTGACAAAGTGCCCACTGGACAAGCCTATATATTTGATTCAGCAAGAAAAGAGGGGTTAATATCCTTATTTACAAATCTGTTCAGGACTCACAAGGTAAAGTATTCAAAAATACAGCAATACACGTGTAATACAAAAGGATCCAAAATATATAAGATTCGCATTGTGGAGCAAAGTGGTTTGTGGCCTGTGTCAAATGATTTGGAGATCCAAAAATGAGTATGCATATCTTAAACAGTAAGTTGTATAACTGCAGATCCACTGCTTACTCATAAAGTAAATTCAATCGCCAAGGTTTTATTTCCAAGTATGTAAGATGAATATTGAGGTGTATTTCAGCAACTATTTACACATAATAGCTGGTACTAAATGAACCAGTTCTTGCTAGATCCAGGAACAGATGCTGTAAAATAAATCCTACTGGATATCGAAAAGCAAGAATTCACTGCGAGTGTCAAAAATCAGAATCCTTTTGGATGACTATGCTGGGTCACACAGATTGTTAAATTTTCTTGTATAGGCAAAAGGTTCCAGAGAAGTCCCAAAGGACAATGTTGATGTACAAAATCTACTTTTAAATGTACTTCGTGCACCCACATAGTAAGCATCTGGTGTCTGTAGCCACTATAACTTAAAGGGCAGCCATATGTCCTGCAACTCTTGCACAGTTTAAACCTCTGTGCAAGAGGTGCAGTACAGGTGCCAGCATAGACTAATTATCTGATCTTAGCTTTCCTAGAAGGTATCTGTTCATTTAAGCCAAACAGGCTTGAGAACACTTCCATTCTTCCATACTCCTAATTCTACTGTGTCCCACCCTTGGACTCCTTTAGTTCCGCTTGTGATGCTAGCTTGGAAACAACACCTCTATCCTGGATATCCGCCCACAGTTTGTCCACTTAAGTCGCTTCCTCAGTAGCAATGGTTCAAAAAAGAGCACTTCCTCACTCCCGACTGTCTGCACTGTTGGCAATACAAAACCTTTTCCTGTTTCTAAATGGAATCCACTCTTGAGCTACCTGTTCTGATTGCTCAGTCATCCCTTTCACTGTCAAAGCTAGCTCTCCCCCCAAATCACTAACCTCAATTTTATAATAAGACAGTGCTTCTGTCATGTTTAGAGTTTCCTTTGGGTACATAGTGTAAGCGTTACTAGAACTGGAGGGAGGTGGGAGTTTTGAAAATTCTTATTGACTTTCCAAAGAACGTTTTTCTTTCACTAATTTGGCTTCCAGAAAGAGTTTATACATTTTTTGTTGATACATTCATACTTAACTTGGCCTAAAACATTTTTATATTGACAACGGTGCTAAATTTGTGGCATCTTGTAGTTGTGACAAAAAAGTATGTTAGTCTTCAATTTGATTATTGTTTTCTCACGGAGTCCCATTGAATCCAGGGACTAGGGTGTACATGGGGCTTAAACTTCTGGCCAAGTAATAATTAAGCCCCACTCCTCCTAGTGCTAAACTTAAAGTGACTTGGTCACTGTATTAAAGAAACCAAAACAAAACTTTCCCTACAAATGAAAGAGTGAATACTTATCTGTCCTGTCCAACGCCACCTATCTTTGCCTGTTTGAAGAACTAAGTTTATTCAGCATGCAACAGTTTTCAAGAGTGTTGAATGTCTGGTCCCCCTCTGCATGCTGTGGTTCCATCTGATGGCCCTTTATGTCACTACCTGACACAAGCATCTGGCAAACATGGAAGGGTGTCTGATACTGAAATACTTTGAAAGCTGTAGAAAGCTGTAGGCAGTGGAACACTTATTCACTCTTAGTTGTGCAGAAATTGTTATATATTATGCTGAAAAAAATCTTTATCATAGCAATTAAAGTGAAGTAAAAAATTTTGCTTTAAAGCAGAGTTCCACTCAAAAGTGGAAGCTCTGCTTATTTGCCTCCACCCCCTCCACTGCCATATTTGGCACCCTTTTGAGGGGGAGCGGGTACCAGTGAAGTGAGCCGGAAGTTCGGCCCCCTCCTCCCTCCCACAGTCTCCTAGGAACTTTCACAGGTCCCAGGAGACTGCTGGACCAATTAGGAGGCACAGCACGACTCGCGCATGCGCAGTGTGCAGCAGGCTGTGAAGCTGCAACCTGTCACAGCCTGGTGCCCACAGTTAAGATTCCGGCGTCGTGGAGGAGAGAAGCGGAGAAGAGACGGCGCGGGTGAGCACATCGCTGGACCCCGGGACAGGTAAGTGTGTTTATTAAAAGTCAGCAGCTACAGTTTTTATAGCTGCTGACTTTTAATAAACACAAAAACGACTGGAACTCTACTTTAATACTACACTAGCCTGAGACAGACACCCCCAGAGGATAGGTGTGTCCATGATGGCTTGGGCTCACAGGAAGTGGCTTTGATGACTTTGGGTGCTGGATTGCAGAGCAGGGTGTCTGCAAGTCTGCAGGTAACTGAATATTTTTATTTTTACCACTGCTAAGCGGCTCCTTTTTATAGAAAATAACAAAGGTGAAGTTGGGCTTTAAACTAGACAAACTTGTCAAGTCATCCCTCTCTGACCTACCACAACTTACACTGTAGTGTCAATATGGTGAATTAAACAAGATGGCTAGAGGAGAACCTCAGAACTAAGCCAGGTCACATACTTTGTAGCTGGGGCTGGTCTTCTGATACTCTAGTAGACAGATGAATGAAAAAATTATATTTCCAAAAATGGAATTATATTGAATTGATACGCTTTAGTGAGTTATACTGTTATCTATACATTTCTAACTAGCAAAATATGTGTTATGTATAAGAATGAAACTGACCACTCTGACTTCTTTCAGCATTGTTTGCAAAGTCTTTTAGGTGTTTTCTATACTAAAGTTCCCCTGAGCTCTAGCTGAAAACAGTCAGTGAGTTGAACAGTGTTAATGTAAAAGAAAACCAGCAGTAACAACGACATAAAAGAACCTACAGTGTATTGCTGCTAAGTGCAATATTTTCACAGCTACATTATGAACAAGTTGATGACTTGTTCGTTTGCATTTCTTTAGTAGGGGGTTTTCAGCACATGCAGTAAACATTGTTAGATAGGACTAAAGGAAGGTAATAAAACAACACACTAGAGTTAAAGCTGTGTTAAAAATATTGTATTCTGATAACTGTATGGAAAAAAATTATGAATAATATTCAATATGAATTCCTTTTCTTTTCACATGGTCTTTTTCTAAATATGTTTCTCTATATTTATACTTTTCCAGCTAAAGTCACAATGACAAAGGCCAAGATAAACTATAGCATTGCCAGGAATGCTTGACCAGTTGTAACATATTATTTATTTATTTATTTATTACAGGTACTTATATAGCACCAACAATTTATGCAGTGCTTTACATATACAGTATATTGTACATTCATATCAGTCCCTGCCCGCAAGGAGCTTACAATCTTAGGCCCCTAACTCACATTCATACACACACATATTAGGGCCAATTTAGACAGGATCCAATTAACCTACCAGCATGTTTTTGGAGGGTGGGAGGAAACTGGTGTACCTTGAGGAAACCCATGCAGGCAAAGGGAGAATATGCAAACTCCAGGCAGGTAATACCATGGTTGGCATTCGAACTGACAACCATAATGTTAATTTATACCAAGTGACCAATATAATAATCCAACAGAGTTATAGTTTGTTCTATCCCGTGTCAATTTTGATGGCCGCTTGGGTTTTCTTGTAATTGAAAAGCAAATCAGGACAGGTTTTTATTGCTGTTTTGGCTGAAGTTTGGCTTTGAGGAGAAAGGACATTTTTCTTTAATATTTATGAATAAATCATCTTTTAGTATCTGAAGGTAGCATGTGTGAATATGTGATGGTGGAATAACCTTTACACATAGCAAGATCCCCAAATAACCTGAGATGAAAGCTATATGTTGGTGAGTGATTCTGTCATTTTAAGCTATAAATATGTGTTTTTTTGCAGGGGTCAACAGCTACCCAGTCCGTGCTCCTGCAATCATGGCTTCTCGGATTGGATTACGAATGCAGCTGATGCGAGAGCAAGCTCATCAGGAAGAACAGAGAGAACGGATGCAGATACAACATCAGCAACATTTCATGCAGAGGCATCACCTTATGCCTTCCAATGCATCCCCTGCAATCAGCACACCCGACTCTTTTCAGGCACCACCACCTGTTCCTGTTGAGGTCCTACAGGTAATTTTGCCAGTGTGCCCAGAAAAAAAAAAAAAGCAGACGGTGGGCAAAAGATAAGCCACCATTATTGCCAGTGGTTTTTCCAAAAACTGATCTTTCCCCCATTACTGACTTGTCTTGTTCTGCACTGCATCTGTTTGTTGAGGCGGTCATCTTGGTAGAGGCAGGGTTTTGCCTTCTCCATGTCTGAGCCTCAAGCAAGGAGAACAGTAAGCAGCACAGTGGTAACATCACCAAATCTCACTCTAAATCTTTTGAGACAAGCACTCAATACAATTATAAGGCTTTAGGTACAGGAGTATACTCACATACCAGGAAGTAGAACTATAGACAAAACCTTTTTTTTTTTATTGTAGATAGAGTAAGGGGAGTTTTTTTTATTATTCTGCTATCTGTGTCCCATTGAGCAGAGTTACCTTCACTTATTATCCCATAGTCAAAACAGGAAGCAAGAGGAAATCTCTGGAAATTAAGGGAATCCCTTCGGGTTGCCCAGGTCACCAGAACTAGTGTCCCTATTGGAAGATTTCCCCTTTTTATACTTTTCTGCAGACAGCCCAAAATTTGGGATTTTCTTTTACTTTCAATGATAATGGTGAACAGGAAAATAGAGAGGGTGAACATCGCTAACGAGAGCACAGACAGCAATAAAAACCTAATAGGTATTTAATCCCTTGAGACCCTATCCAAAACTAAAAAAAAAAGTTTGCCTTTAGCAAAGAATTCCAGGCGAATGTAAATTTTTCAGGATAGTGCTTAGACACAATGAACACTTCTAGATGTTCCCTATAACATAGCAAATATTTATTTTTTAATAAGAGACCACGTTAAATCCTATGGGAACTATTTGGATTTCAGCAAAAAAAATAATATATGCAGAATGTTCCCAATTTTTGTGACTATTTCTAGAACTAAAACCTATACGTTAGGTCATATGTTACTAAGCAGATGGCAGCCAAGCAGTCTCTTTTTTTTCTCTCAAAAAGCTGTAATGGTCCGCAGTACATTTAAGTGCAATTTACAACTAATCTAATTCCTGTCACTGCACTGAGAAAACATGTTGGCTTGTGTAGAGGCCAAGTGATTACTACTCACTGCTTTATAGTGTTTGTATTAAAGGCCCTGGATGGCTTTTACTTAAAGACCGTTAAGGGAGAGGGGTATGCTGCAGACATAGAAGTGGGGACTTCTTGAGGAAAAGGATACAAGAGCACCTCCGTACACTGGGGCCCCTTTTACATGGGCCAGAATCCGCTTGCTTAGTGTGGGATCTCTCACTAAGCAGAACGGAGAAGGTTGACGACAGGTCTGTGTCCCTGGACAAGGGCACAGCCCACTCTGCTGTAAGGGTAATTGGATGTAAACGGACTAGCTGTCCATTTACACCAGAGAGCCCTCCAATCCGCCCAGACAGAAGACAAGGTAGCATTTTTGTTTGTTCTTAGCAGAACAAATCAGATTGGAGGTAGGAGGGTGTAAATGGAAAGAAGTTAATTTACATCTACCACTCCATAGAGGAGAATGGAGGGTCCAAACAGGTCTGCCTGAAAAAATGGACAGGCGGATAAGATTGGATCGATCATGTGAAAAGGGCCTAATGCTTATTAGAATATTGTTCTATAACATTCTAGAAAAACTTCAACATTGTAACATGCATCTTGGCACACCTGGAAAATAGGTATTGTTGTTTGCAACATCTCCAGTATCATTCACAACTTGTTCAAATGTTTATAACACTTGACATCTTTCTGTAACACTGGTATTCTTCAAGCTCCGTAACATGGCATTCGAGTTTTTGCATTTCTTATTACATTGCTCTGTGTGAGTATCTGCATATTGGCTTCTGTTTAGTAGGTGGCTGTATGGGGTGGGGCTAAAGTGGTTTGGCTTTCTGTAATGAATTCAATCCTGATAAGTATTGTAATTTCCTGTAAATTAAAGTGACTCATTCTGTCCTGTCCAGGCCATTTCTGGAGAAGCTTTTATCTTCTGCCACCTAGCATTGCATGCCAACATATTCTTTCACTCATATAATTGCCATTCTCACACTTGACAACAATTATTTTCATACCACAGTAGCAATACAGATCTTGGCATTCTCTTCTGTCAAATTCTGAATCTCAGGGACGCTTTTAATACTGCTCTGCTACATGGGAATATTAACCTGCTGAAAGGTTCTGTTGGTTTGAATGGAGGTCCCCAAGGACATCTGCAGCTTGTTGTTATCCTATAGACAAGTTTACATAGTTACATAGTCAGGTTGAAAAAGACATCTAGTTCAACCAATGAAAACAAAAAAAAATAGCCCCCATATATAGTACATAATACTGTACCCACAACCTTATTACCTTATGAACACTCTGACTACCTACAGTTACAGTTAAGCCTCATTTACACCATATGTGCAGAAAAACTGATGGAAACTGATGCACAGATTTCACTTGCAGAGACATCCGTTTTCATGAACACTGCAATGAGTTTTATACATGTTGCAGATTCCTGCACACAAAAAATCTGCATGTGATACTAGTGTTGTGGTGTGAACAGGTCACATAGAGAACAATTGATTAAGTTGTGCCCTTGCAGATAGTATGCAACAATTCTGACATCTCTGCACTATGGTGTGAACGAGCCCTTAATTTTAGATTACCTTGAGTAGTTTGCATACTGTGCTTGTTTTTTATTATAGATCACCCATCTACTCTCTGTTCCTTAACCTTTTCTGTGGGGAAAGAAAGAAAAAATAAATATATATATATATATAGAGTCAGGTCCATAAATATTGGGACATCAACACAATTCTAACATTTTTGGCTCTATACACCACCACAATGGATTTGAAATGAAACAAACAAGATGTGCTTTAACTGCAGACTGTCAGCTTTAATTTGAGGGTATTTACATCCAAATCAGGTGAACGGTGTAGGAATTACAATGGTTTGCATATGTGCATCCCACTTGTTAAGGGACCAAAAGTAATGGGACAATTGGCTTCTCAGCTGTTCCATGGCCAGGTGTGTGTTTATTTCCTCATTATCCCAATTACAATGAGCAGATAAAAGGTCCAGAGTTCATTTCAAGTGTGCTATTTGCATTTGGAATCTGTTGCTGTCAACTCTCAAGATGAGATCCAAAGAGCTGTCACTATCAATGAAGCAAGCCATCATTAGGCTGAAAAAACAAAACAAACCCATCAGAGAGATAGCAAAAACATTAGGCGTGGCCAAAACAACTGTTTGGAACATTCTTAAAAAGAAGGAACGCACCGGTGAGCTCAGCAACACTAAAAGACCCGGAAGACCACGGAAAACAACTGTGGTGGATGACCGAAGAATTCTTTCCCTGGTGAAGAAAACACCCTTCACAACAGTTGGCCAGATCAAGAACACTCTCCAGGAGGTAGGTGTATGTGTGTCAAAGTCAACAATCAAGAGAAGACTTCACCAGAGTGAATACAGAGGGTTCACCACAAGATGTAAACCATTGGTGAGCTTCAAAAACAGGAAGGCCAGATTAGAGTTTGCCAAACGACATCTAAAAAAGCCTTCACAGTTCTGGAACAACATCCTATGGACAGATGAGACCGAGATCAACTTGTACCAGAGTGATGGGAAGAGAAGAGTATGGAGAAGGAAAGGAACTGCTCATGATCCTAAGCATACCACCTCATCAGTGAAGCATGGTGGTGGTAGTGTCATGGCGTGGGCATGTATGGCTGCCAATGGAACTGGCTCTCTTGTATTTATTGATGATGTGACTGCTGACAAAAGCAGCAGGATGAATTCTGAAGTGTTTCGGGCAATATTATCTGCTCATATTCAGCCAAATGCTTTAGAACTCATTGGACGTCGCTTCACAGTGCAGATGGACAATGATCCAAAGCATACTGCAAAAGAAACCAAAGAGTTTTTAAGGGAAAGAAGTGGAATGTTATGCAATGGCCAAGTCAGTCACCTGACCTGAATCCGATTGAGCATACATTTCACTTGCTGAAGACAAAACTGAAGGGAAAATGCCCCAAGAACAAGCAGGAACTGAAGACAGTTGCAGTAGAGGCCTGGCAGAGCATCATCAGGGATGAAACCCAGCATCTGGTGATGTCTATGCGTTCCAGACTTCAGGCTGTAATTGACTGCAAAGGATTTGCAACCAAGTATTAAAAAGTGAAAGTTTGATTTATGATTATTATTTTGTCCCATTACTTTTGGTCCCTTAATAAGTGGGAGGCACATATGCAAACTGTTGTAATTCCTACACCGTTCACCTGATTTGGATGTAAATACCCTCAAATTAAAGCTGACAGTCTGCAGTTAAAGCACATCTTGTTCATTTCATTTCAAATCCATTGTGGTGGTGTATAGAGCCAAAAATGTTAGAATTGTGCCGATGTTCCAATATTTATGGACCTGACTGTATATATACACACTGCTCAAAAAAATTAAAGGAACACTTTTTAATCAGAGTATAGCATCAAGTCAATGAAACTCCTGGGATATTGATCTGGTCAGTTAAGTAGCAGCGGGGTTGTTAATCAGTTTCAGCTGCTTTGGTGTTAATGAAATTAGAACAGGTGCACTAGATGGGCAAAAATGAGATGACCCCCAAAAACAGGAATGGTTTTACAGGTGGAGGACACTGATATTTTTGTCCGTACTCCTCTTTTCACTAGTTTTGCATTTGGCTAGGGTCGGTGTCACTACTGGTAGCATGAGGCAATACCTGGACCCTACAGAGGTTGCACAGGCAGTCCAACTTGTCCAGGATGGCACATCAATATGTGCCATTGCCAGAAGATTTGCTGTGTCTCCTAGCAGAGTCTCAAGAGCATAGAGGAGATTTAAGGAGACAGACAGTTACTCTAGGAGAGCTTTACAGGGCCGTAGACGTTCCTTAACCCATCCGCAGGATGAGCACTGCCAGAGCCCTATCAAATGACCTCCAGCAGGCCACTGGTATGAATGTCTCTGACCAAACAATCAGAAACAGATTTCATGAGGGTGGCCTAAGGGCCCGACGTCTTCTAGTCCTCCTGTGCTCACTGACCGGCACCACAGCGCTCGATTGGCATTTGCCTTTGAACACCAGAATTAGCAGGTCCGCCACTGGCGCAGGTTCACCCTGAGCACATGTGACAGATGTGAAAGGGTCTGGAGAAGCCAGGGAGAAAGTTATGCTGCTTGTAACATCATTCAGCATGATTTTTTTGGTGGTGGGTCAGGGGAGGCATATCCATGGAGGGATGCACAGACCTCTACAGGCTAGACAATGGCACCTTGACTACCATTAGGTATCAGGTTGCATCTCAGACTGTCCAGGAGCTCAGAGATGCCCTGGTCCAGATTTGGGAGGAAATGTCCCAGGACACCATTCGTCGTCTCATTAGGAGCATGCCCCAACATTGTCAGGCATGCATACAAGCACGTGGGGGCCATACAAACTACTGAGTACCATTCTGAGTTGCTGCAATGAAATTTCAGCAAAATGGACTAGCCTGCTGCATCATTTTTTTCACTTTGATTTTTGGGGTGTCTTTGAATTCAGTCCTCTGTAGGTTGATAATTTCCATTTCAATCAAATGGTGGGGCATCCTTTCGTTCCTAACACATTACCCAGTCCATATCAGCATAGATACCCAGCATGATATTTTTCCCCATTGAGATCTTATATGTTTTCAAAGTGTTCCTTTAATTTCATTATATTTAGTAACTAGTGGAACCTCTTTTATTGGAAACCCTTAACCAACTGCTTTTTAGAGTTGCTAAGCTGACCTTTACAGCATTAATGAGCACAAAGGTCAGGACTTGTGTTTTAAAGAAAATATTTTATCAATTTTTTTTTTAACCATGTGGCTTACATTATTGTCATATTGCAGGGCTCAACTTCTTTTGAGATGGTCGAGCCAGGCTTCGTGTTTCTGTGGATGCACACAGCTCGGCTCGGGAGCATGTCTGCACAGGCCCCCCATAGCACATGACTTGCTATGGAGGCACTCTCAGGGAGAAGATGCAGACAGCATAGGCAGGGAACCGTTAAAGAAGAGGTAATGGGTCGCTCTGTGCAATATCGTTCCACAGAGCAGGCAAGGTTAAACCTCTTTTTTTTTTTTATTTAAAAAAAAAAGAAGCTTTATTGTTACTTTAATTATCAGAAAAATGCCCTTATTTATTCACTGAGGGTTTACTGATTACTAGCCATCCAACCTCTGGGGCAGCAAAGCAGTCCCTAACTATTATAACTGCTTCATCATGCTTCACAGTTGGGATGAGGTATTGGTGTTAGTTGGGGCTTTCCCCCCAAACATACCATTGTATACATATATTAGTAATGAGAACTAATCAGAATCATTACCACAGAGTTAATATGTACAAGAAATGCCTGCAAATCTTTTGCTGTATCGGCAGGGTTCTCTGTAATCTTGAGAATTGCATTGTGCTCTGCAGAATGTCCATTTCTGACAGTTGCAGCACTGCTGAATTTGTTTCTGTTTGTAAACTATGGGGTGATGGCATCCTAAGATTTTGTTCAGATCTTTTTCCAGAGTGTCAACAACTCTACCCCTGATGTTTACTGAAATCTCTTTTGATTGGGCTATATCCCACTCTAACAGAACTGTGGTGTGAAGATCAGATAATAAGAAATGGATATATATATATCTTTTTTTTACTGCAGAACAGGTCCATACCACAGCTCAACTGAATAGAAAACACTTGTTAGACTAAAAGACCTGACCCTAGTTTCCCCCTTTTCAGGTTGTCATGATCCTAGAGGTTTACAGATGTTTTTCTCTGTTAAATAACACTTTTTATTATGACTTATGTAAAACATTTTTAAAACCATTCATGCAGTTATCCATAACTTTTAGGGTTCACAAACATTTGTGTGTGCATGTACAGTTGAGTTCAAAATAATAGCAGTGTGAAAAGTGAATAAAGCTCAAAATCCTTCTAATAGCTTTTATTTCCATACACACAAATGCATTGGGAACACTACACATTCTATTCCAAATCAAAACATGAAGAAAAATATATCAAATTTGTGTTGTTCCTCTAAAAAAATTGAAGAAAAGTGAATATTAGACTGTTCAAAAAAATAGCAGTGTTTGTATTCTTCTTTACAAACTCAAACATTCACTATATAAACTGAAAAATGTTTGAAGATTTTGCTTTCCTTTGAATCACTTAATTAATATTTAGTTGTATAAGCACTGTTTCTGAGAACTGCTGTACATCTGTGTTGCATGGAGTCAACCAACTTCTGGCACCTGTGAACAGGTATTCCAGCCCAGGATGATTGGACTCATTCCACAGTTCTTCTCTTTTTCTTAGTTTTGCCTCAGAAACTGCATTTTTGATGTCACCCCACAAGTTTTCTATTGGATTAAGATCCGGGGATTGGGCTGGCCACTCCATAACGTCAATCTTGTTGGTCTGGAACCAAGATGTTGCACGTTTACTGGTGTGTTTGGGGTCATTGTCTTGTTGGAACACCCATTTCAAGGGCATTTCCTCTTCAGCATAAGGCAGCATGACCTCTTCAAGTATTCTGATGTATTCAAACTGATCCATGATCCCTGGTATGCGATAAATAGGCCCAACACCGTAGTATGAGAAACATCCCCATATCATGATGCTCGCGCAACCATGCTTCACTGTCTTCACAGTGTACTGTGGCTTGAATTCAGTGTTTGGGGGTCGTCTGACAAACTGTCTCAGGCCAGTAGACCCAAAAAGAACAATCTTGCTTTCATCAGTCCACAAAATGTTGTGCCATTTCTCTTTAGGCCACTCAGTGTGCTCTTTGGCAAATTGTAACCTCTTCAGCACACGTCTTTTTTTCAACAGTGGGACTTTGCGGGGGCTTCTTGCAGATAGCTTGGCTTCACATAGGTGTCTTCTAATTGTAACAGTACTCACAGGTAACTTTAGACCTTCTTTGATCTTCCTGGAGCTGATTGTTGGCTGAGTGCTTGCCATTTTGGCTATTCTTCTATCCATTCGAATGGTAGTTTTTTTCTTTCTTCCACGTCTTTCAGGTTTTGGTTGCCATTTTAAAGCATTTGCCATCATTTTAGCTGAGCAGCCTATCATTTTCTGCACTTCTTTATATGTTTTCCCCTCTCCAATCAACTTTTTAATCAAGGTACGCTGTTCTTTTGAACAATGCCTTCAACGACCCATTTTTCCTCAGAATTTCAGAGAAAAATGCACTGTAACCAGCATGTACAACATTTTGCTGCCTTCCTTCCTTAAATAAGGGCAATAATTGCCACCTGTTTTTCAAAGAATGAATGACCTCACTAATAGAACTCCACACTGCTATTATTTTGAACATGCCCCTTTCAATTAGTGATTCAATTACAGAGAATCAGCAGCATGCATGTCATGACTGTTGGATCTGTTGGATTTCTATTACTCTACTACACCTGCTAGTAAATTATTTCTATATAATTTCTACCAAGAACAGTGATTGATCAGGTTAGTGATGTCTGATTGCTATTATTTTGAACACAACTGTATATTAGTGTGTTAGTATATACAATATTTGCATGAACTATTTATTTATATTTTTATACAGGTGCAAACACACCTTGAGAACCCAACATCTTACCACCTGCAGCAGTCCCGAGACAAGAAGGTTCGCGATTATTTGTCGGAAACCTATGGCAACAAATTTGCTTCTCATCTTAGTCCACTCAGGTTGTCTCCTAAACCCCCACCTGCTCCTCCATCTCCTGCAAACCGTACTACTCGCCTTTCATCATCAGCAGGAAACAGTGCACCAAACAGTCCCATGGCCAGAATGAACTTGTGCTCCAATCCAGAACGTGAAGTAAGTACATTGAGAGTTGTACTTCCTACTACATATATCAGTGTCTGCATCCATAGTACTTACATTTCTTGAAATTAATAATGTCCTGTACACAAAAAATGTAAAGGGCAGGAGGAGAGGACCAGTAATGTTTGCATCTCAATATCTACAGTTAACTTTCCAATATCCATCCTGTCAATGAGATTTGCACTTTAGTAGACATAGCTCATATAAACGTATCCAAACCATCCATTAGATGTGCTTGGCAGTGCACACTACTTACTCTTCAAGTATCCTTACCACATAACATAGCATGCACAAGCCATTCCTATGGTCGTCCTAGTCCTATCCTACGTTATTGAGAAGAAAGTGATGCCACCTTTCATGAGAGCTGTGACTGGCCATCCAACACACTTGTGTGGTTTTCTGGGTATGTTTTACCCTCCCCACCCCACTGTCACTTTATTTCTGCTGCACACATCTACCCTGTGAAACTGGGTCTCTTAACAGCTTAGGGATTTTTTGTACATCTATATTAAATGCAGTGCTCATACTACTCTATTACATTTACTGCACTATTCTTCTGCATTACAAGTAGTGTTTATGGCTGTGGAAGTCACTATGAAAGCCCACACGACCAACCCCTTGTGTCTTTGTCGACAAAAGATAAGAAGTGGTTAAGCATTGTGGACACAATCAAAAGCTCTGTCATTTCCCTTATGTATAGTACAACATCCCTTACTATTACAAACAGTGCATAGTGCTTTTATCACTCCTCATGTCTCTCTATTACTTAAATGACCTAACATGTCTACAGGAAAAATGGATACTGGACACATAAAAATGGAAAGCCTGCCCCTTTGAAGCTATAACTGCTTTCGCCATACAGAGTGCCAGTTAGGCTTAGTGACCTCAGGAGAATGGGTGTCTCATTCCTCTCTGCTAGATTTTTTTTTTATTTAATTTGGAATATGTTTTACTATCCTCTGCATTTGGTAGATTCATGCTGAATATTTAAAATCCTGGAAGTCTCTCCAGTCGAACAGTGGTAGGGTTTCCATACTGGTGTTCTCACTGTGATTGTCCCACATTCTTAACAGTGACAATCCTATCTATCACAAGACTCTGCATTTAAGGTTGGTCCAGGACTTCCAGAATGCCATTTCTTAGAATCCATGCCAGGATTTCCAAAAATTCCTTCTTTCAAAAACCCTGTCAGGGCTTCCAATAGTACTTGTAGAACTTAAGCTTCAGCCTTTGAAGTAGCTAGTGCTGTGTCTTTTTGCCAGCTACTTGTGAGCTGAAGAGCTATAAATCTTGCCTGCCAGTTGTCTGTTGCCAACCCAGACTGACTGGACTACTTCCTCACGTGCTGCCTGCCTAAACCTCTACTTGGATCTGACTACTCTCTCAGTTGCCTTCCTTGACCCCTGCCTGGACCAGATTACTCTCTCATCTGAACTGTATCCTTACCTTTCCAGCCACCCCCCTTTGCAATCCTAAGGGACAAGACTGGATGTCTGTTTGCAGAAAAGTAATCTAGAAGCACAAGGGTTCTGATAGAAAACAACTCACTTAGACCTCAGCTGAGTCCATGTCACCTAGCAGGGGGCACCGTAACAGTGAGAAACAGTCATGCTGTTGGATAATGAAATGAGTTCTCTGTTTGGTGAACTCTGCAGACACATTTCTAATCTCGATATATTTGTACAAGAGCTCCAGAGAGGGTATTTTCAATTAGGGGGCTGCTGCTTAGCTGTACTGTGCCAGTCCCTCAGCTGTTCTTGCCCCTGCTTTTGCTACTACGCTTAAGCCCAAGCTACCTCTTCTGGATCATTTCCCTGAAGACTGTAGCCAGTTGAGGGCCTTTCGTAATGCTGGTCTCCTCTATGTTTCTTTACAACCAAAGATCTTGGCTGGTGAACGCATTATAATGAACACCGTAGTTTCCCACATTCAGGAGAAGACCCATGCCTGGGCTTTTCTTCTCTTGGTACTGAGATTTTTGACAGTGTCTCCTTCCTGTCTGAGACACTGACTAAATTTCACAATGACCCTTATTGAGCTGCATCAACAGAGTCTGCTCTAGGAGACCTTCACCAGGGTTGAAGACCCTTAGAGTGTATCTCTGACTTTATTAAATAGAGTAGTCACACTGCAGTTACATGTGGCTGTGCTGCAGATTCAAACCATGTACTGCAGTTGTCTCATTATGCAGCACTACCGGTGAGGAATACAATTTCCTAATATTGATAATACAAGATGCGTACGGTGTTTGAAACTTTAGGGTTTTTCCTTCTTTTTGCTATTGCTTGGGCAGTGTATCTGTCATGGTGGCCGGGCAGTGAATCCTGTGGCTGGAACTCATGGAACTTGATAACATAGTTTTAATTCTGTGCATATGCATGCACATGCACACTGGCGGCTTCCTAGACTTGCTTTGCTCCAGCTCCTAACTGTATTAAAGAGGTGCTCGCATGCACACTTATACTGCTTCCTTGATGTGCTCTGCTCTATCTGTGAGGTTGTTCAGCTTTAGGTATGCCTTGCAAGTGCACAGCAGACCACTTTTGTTCCATGCTCTGCAAAGGTAAGGGGTAGTTGTATTCCACTTAAAATTTAGAGCATTCCACTACTACATCTACTACGATGTCTAGCCTCTGTTCTCCTAATTTGCACCTTTCCACAAAGATTCTTCCTGCTCATCCCCAATCTGATAGATTTATTTACAAATACTGGAAATTCCCTGATAAGCAATCCCTTGCTCCTAAATTATTCCAGACATTGTATGCCTTTCCAGAAGTGATCTGTTTCTCCTGAGTTTGGCTGTATGGTATCTTTGCCTTAGAGCACTCCAATAGGACAGCAAGTACCTTTTGCGCATGTCATCATCAAGCTTATGTGACTCAGAACTATAGGGCAAGTCTGTGACTTGGTCTTCTGTCACATGTTTTTTTTTAAAGTCTGACAAGGTTTTTGTATCAGCCCTTTGTGAACACTAGATTTAGCTGAAAAGTTCTTTGTTTATTGCCTATGCTTTTTGTTTTTTTTCCTGTATTGGGTTGTTTCTTGTCACAGGACTGTTGATGAAATTCATGTTATCTATATGTTTCCGCCTCTCTGTTTGGACTGCTTTTCGACATGTCTACATTGCCTAATACCATAATGTGTTTTTATTTTCTCAATTGATGATAGAGAAAATTGGATTTATGTACATATTAGTTAGGTTGAAAAAAAGACACTAGTCCATCTAATTTACCAATATAAAAAAAATAAACAAATTGAAACCCTCAATATACACAATCCTCTACCCACAGAAGTTCCAGAGGTAGTCAAAAAACCCCAATAAAGCATGATCCAATTTGCTCCAGCAGGTGAAAAAAATTCCTTCCTGATCCCCCAAGACACAATCAGATATTCCCTGGATAAACCATGCACAATATTTTTTACATTTAGGAATGCATCCAGCTCCTTTTTAAAACAATCTACTGAGCTGGCCAGAACCAGTTCTTGAGGGAGTCTATTGGACATTTTCACAGCTGTTACAGCGAAAAGCCTTTCCTTGAAGGTTAGATCTCTTTGTCTCAGGATGTAAAGAGTGACCAATTGCCCTCTGTAATGAATAACTGTACACCAAGTTCACTATATGGACTGACTATGTATTTATAGATGGTGATCATATCCCCCCTCCTTAATCTCCTCTTCCCAAGTGAGAATAAATTCAGTTCCTTTAATCGTTCCTCATTGCTGAGTTCTTCCACGCCTCTTATCAGTTTGGTTGTCCTTCTCTGCACTTTCTTCAGTTCTCCGATACCCTTTTTGTGAATTGGTGCCCAAAACTCAACTGCATATTCCAGATGAGGTATTACTAATGATTTGTACGTGCATAAAATGATGTCTTTCTCTCTGGTGTCTGTACCTCTTTTAATACAAGATTTACCTCTTTAAATGTGCACTCACTTTAAAATCCTTTCTCTGGATCCATTCACAGTTCCCTCTCCTTTTACCATTTACAGCGTACCAGTGTATCATCAGATCACTGATGCATGCTGACACTGCTAAATTTGACCTGGGCCAGATTTGGCCAGTCATGATCTCTGGTTATGAAACAGCTAATCATTTGTTCTTGTTATTGTAGAGGATAATTGATGCAAATGAATGTATAATTGACAGTTTATTAATATGTGTATGGCCATCAAAAGACACAATGATAAATAAATGTATATAACCATAGTAATAACACATTTTATGTGCTGCCTTTAGTAGATTTCCTTTAATTTCCAGTTCCATACACCAAGAAGTAGAAATCTCCATAGTAAGGGAAAATCCCCTCACTGGAAATGTTTTAAATATAGATTCACTTTAATTATAAAAATGAAAAAACTGGAACCAATCATGCCCACATCACTATTTAAACCCCCATTCAATTAATACAATTCCCCAAAATACCAGTTGTTCTGCATGTGTCATAAATTGCTGTTACCAAATGTAAGACATGTAAAAACATATGTTTTCCTACTTTGCAGATGGATGATGTACTTGACAGTATAATTAGCTTAGATGATATGTATGGATGCACTGAACCAGCCCTCTCCATGCCAAATACGGTATGAATGTTTATGTCATTTATGGGCTTTCTTGTATCTGTCCTATTCCTTATTGGTTTTATTCCATCATTCTTTTCTTTTTACTTTTTTCCTTCATTTTCTGTGCAGTTGCCATTTTCCAGTAGCCATTTGGGGCTCTATAGTGATAGTCCACGGCTTAGTGATACCATTGTAGGTATCACCAGCAATTCATGCCCAGCCGACTTACCAATAAAGAGGGAGCTATCAGGTAAGAACACTTCTGTCATATAAAATTTTTTCCTGAGCACCATTCTGTTAACTGAAAGTCCAATACTCTGTTATACATGAAACATGGCATCCCAATAATTGTCAATTTATATATCATGTGGATCTCATTCTTTCTGCTTCACTTTCTTTACCTTTTAACGACCATGGGTCATTAATGTATACATGCCCAGACTAAATGTACCAGTGTCAGTATGCATTAGTTAACTTGTCAATATTTATATGACCAATCTGCAAATTTAAATACTTTTTACATTGTTTTAAGGGCAGGCTGCCTAATGTTTTTGGGCATTGTTTTTGGGACACATAGACATGTAATGAACAAAATGTATATACTTACTTGATTAGTCAAATTATGAAAGCAATAGAGACCATTATGGACAAATAGAAATTTCTGTCATTTTTCCCCAAACATAAACATTTTACCCAAAAATATAATTTAAAAAATTCTTCTGATTAGAAGGATATCTCAGAAGTGTGTAATCTTTATTATTGCAGTGGAATGGTAAAGCTCATAATTTGGATTTAAATTTAGGAGAAGAACATAGGATGTATCCGTAAATTTTTAGCATAGCTAAGGTCAAATTGGGTTTAAAATTTGCAAATTAAAATGAGCATCATTTTTACAGGAATAATTGCTTAAATACTAAATGACATCACTTTTATATGAGCATTTGAGGCTCATGCAAATAATGATGCATCATCCAACCTAATTGTTGGGACCTGGGGATTTATTAGGTTATAGGATTATTTTCTAATTAGTTGATACAAATAATTAAGATATAAATAATTTTATATAGTAATTTTACATAGTTGCATAAAAACACAGGTCCATCCACTTCAACCAATATGTGTGTGTATGTGTGTGTTTTTGCTTATCTTGCTATCAGTTTCCATTTCCCAGTACATTGTGTTCGCTGAGAATTTATCTACACTCCCCACTGACACCACTAACCGTGGAATACCACTAGCATCAAACAGCTGGGTGATGAGGAGGAATCATCCAGGGTCTGAGGAGGAACACTGAAGGGGCTCTGGTGCTCCTTTAAGAGAGACTGTTGCTATTTCACATTGTTGTTAAGGAGTTGACCTCAAGTTCTACAGTTCCTCAGGCATCCCATATACCCCTAGACCCCATACAAGTTTAACCACATCCGTGCCGCCCTGTAGCAGAAATACTGCTTCAGGGCGGCACGGGTGCACAAAATCACGTATGTATACATGATTTTGCAGTTCAAGGTAGGGGGCGCCCGCCCCTTCATTCGCAGCCTCCATTCCTGCCCAGTGTCATTAGTACAGTGTCAGTGCTTTTTATTAGCACTGATCACTGTATTAGCGTCACTGGGGATGTCAGTGACACCAAGTCAGTTCTCCCCAGTGTAAGAATTCCCGCCGCCATCCCGCTATAAGCTGATCGTCGCCATTGCTAGTAAAAAAAAAAAAAATTCCAGTATATTTACCACCATTTGTAGACGCTATAACTTTCATGTAAACCAATTCATTTACACGTATTGGGATTTTTTTTTTTTTTTTTTTTTAGCAAAGACATATAGCAGAACACATTTTGGCCTAAATTTATGACCAAATTTGATTTTTTAAACAAATTTTACTGGACACGTTTAATAGCAAAAAGTAAATAGTTTTTGTTTTTTAAATTGTCGATCTTTTTTTGTTTATAGCGCAAAAAAATTAAAATGCAGAGACGATCAAATACCACCAAAAGAAAGCTCTATTTGTGGAGGGAAAATGGATGTAAATTTCATTTGGGTGCAGCATTGTATGACCGTGCAATCGCCAGTTAAATTAACACAGTGCCATATCGCAAAAAAATGGCCTGGTCAGGAAGGGGGGTAAATCCTCTGGAGGGCAAGTGGTTAACCCCTTAATAAAATCACAAAACCAAGCTCAAGATCTGTTCTTTGGCTGCACTGTGCAGAGTGTGGAAAATGCACATTACCTGGCCATACAGAGCATATGGGGGGACCCAATTCAAACCTCAGTGGCCCCTAAGGGGGTATTGCTACACACATATGCATCAGCAATGGCCTATAAAGAAAATCTGTACAAATACTAATATACCATTTTAAAAAATGTTTGTGTTAATCCCACAGATGCAGAAAATCGTGCTCTTGTTCGTGAACGTCAGAAAAAGGATACACATAACATGAGTAAGTCATGAATATCTCATATAACATAATTCCTATGACCGTCTCATATCTTTAGCTGATTTCCACAGCACAGTGGAGGCTCAGTCAGTACAGATATTGCTAAAGTTTTATTATGCATGTGGGTGGCATTCTGTGTCTTGTTTATGATTGGTTTCAAGATTTGTTGGTTTTGTGTGTCTTTCAGTTGAACGAAGGAGAAGATTCAACATTAATGATCGCATAAAGGAGCTGGGTACTTTAATTCCAAAAACAAATGACCTGTGAGTTTCACACACAAATCTTTATACCTAAAAACATGAAAATAGCACAAAGTAACATACAGTATATGTATAATATATTTCCCTCTAGGCCTCTTTTAGGGGTTGAGGGAGTGTAGCTTAGCTCTTGTACATACATGTTTTGGTTTGTATAAAAGCCATGTGTTTGACAAATTTTAACAAAACATTTACAAAGCTTTCAGCAAAGCTACTTTTTTAATGTGACCCCCCCCTTATTACAGGGACACTTGTCTGTTTCCTGGCTGCTGCAAATATTCCACACTACCGGGTGTGCAGAATAGTGGCTCTTGCGCCACATGCAATGGTTTCTTCTACAGACTTGTACAGGTGCCCTTCCCAAAATACCACTTCCCCATGCTGGTAGATACCCAGTTCTTCAGCATCCCCAGTATCCAAGAAAGTGTGCGGACAGGGGACTTATATGCTGCCTATCTGCCTTATTGGCAGGAAGACAAGTAGGTGTTCACCCATCCTTTCTGAACTGGTTTTAGGGTTCCTCTGTGTGCCGGTGGAAGGGGAAAGAAAAACAAACTTACATGTTATCATTATAAAAATATTTTTAGGTTTTGTAATATTTACTTCTAAATGTTCCTGTGATACCTAAAAGTATCCACTAGCTGGCTCATTGTCAGATCTCCATTGGCTTCTTCTCCAGAGAAGGAAAACAGTTATATCCCTCCTCACTGCTTTTTAAAACATTTTTTTTTACATAGGTATATGTGGAATTGCACCCCAAAACACATTCTGCTACTTCTGAGTATGGGGATACCACATGTGTGCAACTTTTGGGGAGTCTAGCTACGTACAGTGGCCCAAAACGGATGACCACCTTCAGGCTGTGAAAGGGCAAGGTTTTGAAAACAAAAATAAAAAATACTTTTTCGTTTTCCTTCTTCATTTTCCAAAAACTTGTGGCAACAAATGAGATCTTCAAATGTTCGCCATGCCTCTTAGCAAATAAATTGGAGTGTCTAATTTCCAAAAAGGGTCATTTGGGGGGTGCTTGTATGATCCTGGCATCTCCGGGCCTCTGAAAATGTGATACATAGTCAGGAAGTGAAATGAGGAAATTACACCCTTTGAAAGCCTGAAGGTGGTCATTGGATTTATACATAGCTAGACTGCCAAAATGTCTCCCACATGTGGTATCCCCGAACTCAGGAGAAGTATCAGAATGTGTTTTGGGGCGTAATTCCATGTATCCACATGACATGTGTGAGAAATGGCTCATTAAAGTGACAACTTTGCATAGGAAAAAATCGACGCCTCCCATATAAACATTATAGTTGTGGACAAATAGAGGCTTTTCAGCTAGACCAGATGCTGCGTTAATTTAGGCCGTCATGTTTGCATGAATCGAAGGCAGAATGAATACCTGTCGTTTGTCCTTCCACTTTCTCCCTCTTTCTATGTGGGGTGTTAATAAGCAATTGAGGGAAGCCCCTGCGATTAGGTTGCATGGTGCCACAGCAGACAATTTCTTAAATGACTAAATGTCTAAAAAGTGGCATGCTTGCATAAAAGTTGTCCACTATCTTGTTACTACTCCCCATGTAGTCTGGGCATCTAGGGGGCTCCACTTGACTGTTTTCCCCCTCATAAACTCTAAATCGGTATGTATAGCCTGTTGTCCATTCACAGAGTTTATACAGTTTGACCCTGTATCTGGCATGCTGGCTAGGGAGATACTGCTTTATTGCAAGCCTGCCAGTGAAATGTACAAGCGACTCATCTACACAGATGTTTTGTTTGGATGTACACACATCTGCGACTTTCTGGGAAAGATAATTTATGAGGAGCCAAATTTTGTAGAGCTGATTAAAGTCAGGGTCACCCCAAGGACAACAGAGGGCATTGTCATTAAAATGTATTATATTCTCATATCTTTTCCTGGCCATTGCAGCAGAGAACATGGGCATATGATGAATTGGGTCTGTGGACCAATATGACTGCAATTGAATCTTTTTTTAAATGCCCATGTTAAGGGTTAGGCAGCCCAAAAAAGTTTTAAGTTCAGAAACCATGATGGGTTTCCGCTTAAATGGCCTAGCAAGAATTGAATTTGGGTTGGCGGTAATGTTTGTTGGGCATGAAGATTGCTTTGGCCAACAATCAAATTGTAGAGGCCTTTGGTGAAAAACGGCTCAAGCTAGTCAAGGGGCACTGTTAAATTGGCTGTTTCCACCTGAACCCCAGGCTGGGCTTTGAATGGGGTGGACAGCCAATTTGGGGTTTGCAAGCACCTCTAGACGGCTACTACTGGCCTGTTCTAAAATTCTTGGTGGTTTGTTCTGCACTTCTGAAGCTCACCGCTTCGCCATGAGATACTGCAGTGCTGGTGTCTAAAAGGCCAGGATGTAGTAGGCCACTGGTGCTTGCCAGCTCACAAAAAATTAATGCATCTCTTGTACTGGCATTCTGCTGCATATGAACATAATCATGCATTTCTAGCACAGCTGCAACCTGGGTTTGGGTATGACTGATCTTAGCAGGAGCCTCGTCTCCATCGTCTGAGCTACCTGTTAGGGTGCTGCTGCTTTCTACAGGTTCATATTCTGATCCTGATTCTGACAGTGAGGTGTCCCTTTCGATCTCATCTCTCATGCTCAAAATCCTGTAGGCCTCCTCACTAGAGTACCTTTTCTTGAGACATATTAGGCACTAAATGTATAGGTGCCCAGTGGCGACTATGGGAAATAGAGCTCCTGGCTAGCAATTCGGGACTGCTTATGCGCTAGAAATAAAAACTGTTAGTGCTAGCAGAGATCAGGCCTGATTCTGCCAACACTGCGGTTTTGTGTACAATGCATCAGAGGTGTATCAGTGATCAGGACAGTTATACTGACACTGCACTTTTTGGGGGGGGAGGTGGAACTAAACACCAGTGCTGGCATTGATCAGACTGACCCTGTGTTTTTTGGAGACACTATACTAATGGAGACACTAGTATAGTTCTCTTTTGTGATCAAAATACTGATCCCTACAGACACTATACTAGCAATAGCAGTGATCAGCAACTTATGGTGTGACTATGATAATTTGCTGCTTCAACTCACTGTGGTGTTGCTTTTTTCCCAAACTGAAAGGGATTCAAGAAGAGAAGTGCCGAGAACATTACTGTTTACAAACACGACACAGGATAGTTCTGTTATTGAATACAGTCGATCAGCAGGTTCACATGGCCAAAATCAATGGCCAAAACCATTGGCCAAAACCTGCTGACAAACCGGCTAAAGCCAATGACAGCATAGGTCAGCAGGCGGTGAGTGCATGCACGCTTGCAAATCCAGAAAACTGTCCTGACATTACAGGTACATGATCGTACCTGCACCTGCCGCCTGCTTGCAGTATATTTATTGTGAGCAGGTGGTTAAAAAAAGACCGTTAAGCATCCTGGTGCTGAAATGCTGAAAATACACTGAAGCAAAATGTAGGCAAGTATTTTCTGTATACATGAAATTGGCATGCTTAGGATAACAAGCTAGCCTCTCTCTTTTGTATTTTAGTGAAACACGTTGGAATAAAGGGACAATCTTGAGAGCTTCTGTGGAATATATCAAACACATGCAGAAAGAACAACAACGGAGCCGAGATTTGGAGATGCATTCAAAGCAACTGGAACAAGCTAACAAGCAGCTTTGGCTTCGGATCAAGGTGAGAGCAGTAGATATAATTACATTCACATTAAGTATGATTATCTCAAGATTACTCATCTGTGTCAACCTTTTATTTACATACACACATAAATTAAAAACTTTACCACAGGGGAAGAAAAGGAATTGTCTTGGGCCACACATAAAGTACACTAATAATAAGCTTAGCTGATAAGCAGAAAAACTCGGGCAGAACACAAGTTATCAATCACTGATATAGATAATATACCTATCTAATAAAACATATTTAAAACAAAAAACATTTTTTATTATAAAAGTAAAAGAGGGCAACCTAAAATTAGTACTGTATTTCACACAGTTTTTGATAAACAAGTGCATCAGTATCTGGTCCAATGGATGTAGTAGTAATTCTCAATGAGTTCTCAAGGTGCTTATAAGATATTTTTCTTTGTTTGGGAAGATAAAACTTATAAAAAGTCCAGTAAAGAGGTACTGACCAATGTTTCTTCACCCACATGTGTTCATTAAGTGTAAGCACATTTGTACAAAAATGTTTTTAAAAAATCAACTGCTACAGGGCGGCACGGGTACGCAAAATCACGTATATATACACGTGATTTTGAAGATCTTGATAGGGGGCGCGCGCGCCCCCTACCTGCGCCGTAATTCGCAGCCTCGGCTGTCAATCACTGGGTCTCGGCCGTTGATTCACAGCCGGCACCCAGTGATCGCTGAGTATCAGCAACGGGGGAAAGACCTATGTATAAACAACACAGATCTCTCCCCTGTCAGCTGCTGCACAATGGTTTGTATGGCTCTGCATTGCAGAGCCATACAAAGCAGTGTGCTTACAGTGTAAAGCGCACACACAGCACACAGTAAAACAGCACACAGTAAAACAGCACACAGTTAACCCTTTGATCGCCCCACATGTTAATCCCTTCCTGCCCAGTGCCATTAGTACAGTGTCAGTGCTTTTTATTAGCACTGATCACTGTACTGGTATCACTGGGGATGTCAGTTACACCAAGTCAGTTCCCCCCAGTGTCAGAATGCCCGCCATAGTCCTGCTATGAGTAACTGATCGCCGCCATTACTAGTAAAAACAAAATAAAAAAAATATCCCAGTATATGTACCGCCTTTTGTAAAAGCTATAACTTTCACGTAAACCAATTAATTTACACGTATTGAGATTTTTTTTTAGCAAAGACTTGTAGCAGAATACATTTTGGCCTAAATTTATGACGAAGTTAGATGTTTTAATTTTTTTTTTACTGGACAAGTTTAATAGCAAAAGTCAAAAATGTAGGGTTTTTTAAAAAAACTTGTTCTCTTTTTGTTTATAGTGCAAAAAATAAAAAACGCAAAGGCGATCAAATACCACCAAAAGAAAGCTATATTTGTGGAAAAAAAAGGATGTAAATTTCATTTAGGTGCAGCATTGTATGACCACAATTGTCAGTTAAAGTAACGCAATGCCGTATCACAAAAAATGGCCTGGTCAGGAAAGGGGGTAAATCCTCTGGAAGGCAAATGGTTAACCACTTGCTGTCCGGCCGTTGTATATAAACAGCCGGATGATGGCATTCCAGGGGCGGGTTGCCGTTCATAAACGGCACTCGCCATTTTGGACTGTGCGCCCTCCCTGGGACACAGTGGAACACCAATCGTCGTACAGGACCTCTGTGCGAGGTCATGATCATGTGATCACTCACTGGCCAATCCGTAATCACGTGCAGAGTAGTAAGCAAGATGTCACTTCTGACATCATTGCTGAGTACGCGTGAAATCTGTGAATGATCACAGAGGTCACATGGTACAAGGCTATTCACAACAGCCTTGTACCATGTGACAAGCTGTGACCAATCACAGCTCACACAGTATTTCTCAATGGCTGCAAGAATGCAGCCAGAGAGAAGGAGAAATTATTGCTTTTACAGCCTTTATGGGTGTAAAAGCAATCAGTGTAAAAAAAAAAAAAAAAAAAAAAAAAAAAATTTCATCACCCCCACAAGTAGTACAGTGTCACCATGGTGACAGTATGTAAAAAAAAAAAAAACATAACTAATACTATAAAAAAAAATTTAAATGTAAAAAAAAATTTAAATAATTATAATTTTTGGTTATAAACTAATTTGGGTATTTCTTTTACTAAAAAGATAACTGAATACATTTTGGCCAAGATTTATGATGAAATATTATTTATTTGCAAAATTTTATAAGAAAAACACTTTTTTCTAATTTTTGGGACTTTTTCATTTATATGGCAAAAAAAATAAAAAATCCCAGCGGGGAATAAATACCAACAAAATAAAGCTTTATCTGTCTCAAAAAATGCAAAAAAATTCATATGGGTGTACCCACTACCCACTGTAGTATTGCATGACCGCGTAATTGTCATTCAAACTGTGATAGCGCTGAAAGCTGAAAATTGGCCTGGACAGGAAGGAGGTGAAAGTGTCCGGACATGAAGTGGTTAAGTAACTTTAGGCTTTTGGGTTGGGTCACAGGTTGGACACCCCTGCTTTACAACATTAAAATGGTGCTTTTTGTACGTAGTATTGTGTATTTGTTGTGTCTTTACCATCACTGACAAACGTCACAATAATACTTCAACTTTTGTGTTTAAGGAGCTGGAACTGCAGGCACAGGTACATGGTCTTGCTGCAACGTCCCCTCATGGTTTGAACCCCACTGATGCCGTCAAGCAAGAATCAGATCCTATGACTGGTGTTCAACAGCAACTCACAGTTCCTCAGCAAACGACATACCAGCACGCAGTGGACTTTTCTGCAGGCCTTGGATACCAAAACAGTGCCTGCGCAGACACTTCTTTCCCTGCAATATCCAAGTCAGAGCTTGATCTCATGCTTCTGGAAGACACCATGCTTAGCTCTGATCCCATGATGACATGTGATCCACTTATGTCTACCCTTTCCCCTGGAACCTCTAAGGCTAGCAGCAGAAGGAGCAGCTTCAGCATTGATGAAGTGGATGGTCTGTGACATCATAAACTATAGGACCTGGGATCCTCGTTTATTTTGTACAGTGACTGGTATTGACATCACTGCAGACTTGGACCCGGGTATCATGTTACTTTATTTATGGGACAGTTTGGTAAGAAGCACATGACCACTAAATTCTATGCACTTGAGAAGATGCAACTATATAATCAGATAGTCTAGTGCTTACAGGTAACCATGCATAAATTATGATTTGGGAAGGTCCTTTTTTTGGAAAGCAATGGTTCAGAATTTTGGAAAACCTGTAAGCGTTCTAACACCTAGGCACGCCATTATCAGACTATCTTCAAAAGAAGTACTAAATACCTACTTTCCTACCAGCATCATCTTTCTAAAATCTGTGCGTGAGTGACACTTACATACAGATGCCTCAGCTCCTACACTGCCTGTTTCCTCTGCGGCATGCACAAGGGACACTTGCCAAGAATATGAAGTGCCTTCACTGAGAACCACTGTGCGTATGGATTTTGACTAGCTTGGGTATATCAATAAAGATATACCTTCTTTAAATTAAGGATTGTTACAGTTCTTTTGATAACGTTGTTTTAAAACGTTGGAATGTGTGCTTATGTATTGATTTCCCATACAATTCGTCAACCTGGAAATATCATGACATTGGATTTTTGAGCAATAATCCACTTTCATCTCCTTTTAAATTACTGGATCAAACTGTGGCTTAACATTTTTTTAAAATTACAGATATACTCTGAGAACCTTGGATATTGTCATACATTTTTGTATACACCATGTATACTCTGTATGCTGTAGACGTTAGTGGTTAAGACCTTTGTACACAGTTTTAAATTGTCACTATTTAAAAAAACTTTATTTTCCATTGTTGCTAGTTGACTATGCACAACTATGACTGATTACTACTAGGATTGTGAGAAATGATATTGTTTAAAGCACAAGTGTGAGACATTAAGGTTGATTTACTAAAACTGGAGCGTGCAAAATCTGCTGCAGCTCTGCATAGAAACCAATCAGCTTCCAGGTTTTAGTCACTGGTCACACCACTGCAATTTCAGGTGGGATTTGTGAATTGAAATCGCATCTAATGAATGTGAATAAAGTAGTTCTTGCATTACTTTTTATCCAGTTTTGGTGCGATTTCACATACATAGAATATAATGGAAATTGTACTGCAAATTTCAAGAAATCTTCACAAGTAGCAATAAATTCTTCAGAAATTGCACCTGAAATATATTTTAAATCACAGCGGTGTGACCACTGACTTACACCCCGATCGCACAGGGTGTGACTTGGCATGCGACTTGCAATGCGTATGCCAAGTTGCACCCTATTGCCCCCAATTACAGCTGTCAAATCGGTGCCGTTCTGACTTGGTCGGAGCCGCACTGATTTCTACAGTAGTAACGCACTACTTTACGTGCAATTTGTATAGACTTGCAAATCGCACCTGAAATCGGCAGTCCTCTGACTTTGAAATCGTGCAACTTCTTCACTGTAAAGCAGGCCATACATAGGTCAAATTCCAAACGATTTTTCGATCGAAAATAGAAAACATATTTCGTTCTGTAATCCGATGGTGCCACCAATGATTTAAAAAATCAGTTGTTTTTCATTAATTTTCCAGCAGGCCCGATAAACAAAATGGGGAGGAACCACGAAAATCGTCCGGTGCCATTGCCCCACTAACAGAGCAAAAATCAGCCGATTATTCTTACGTCCGATTTTAGAATGCAAATTCGTTCGAAAATCGACCCATGTATGGCCGGCCTTAGTCGCACGATTTCAAAGTTGGGTTTGATGTGACCGTAGACTTATTGTCAAAGCTTAAATGAACAAGCTGAAGTTAGGTGATTGGCTGCCATGCACAGCTGCACCAGATTTTGCACTCTCCAGTTTTAGTAAAGCAACCCCATTATGTTGTTTAGAGCACTTGGCTGTTCAGAAGCCGCTACAATGGATTTTCAAATCCAGTTATCAAAGCCAAAGATTTTCCTGCACAAGTCAAGCATTTGTCCCCAGTGGGGGGAACTAATTTAGCCACTCGTGCCTACGTCATCTCAACGGTGTCATCCCTTTAATTTTACAAGCCAAACCTGAAACCTTTCAGTGACCATGTGGAATTATATTTATATTCATCCAGATTTCATTCACTTTTCTTTCTTTTATAATAATTCAGACTTGGGTTGGTCATACATACTGTAAGGAAAAAACTCAAGAAAAACATGCAAATTACCTCTAGTCAGAACTGTAGATCTGTACTACAGTTTTTAAATTTATACTCATGATAATTCTCTGCTTCTACCATAGAAAATTCTGTCCTAGGTTTTTAATGCCAAACCGTTTAGTGCCTGCTTTGAACTTTTAATAACAGAGTGTCCATGCTCTGTAAATGGGAAGTAAGATTTCCACACACTTCTCAGGTGTCCAGATCTGTCAAGTTCTTTGTGTTATTATTTTGATTCAAATGTTCACATTTTATAACGAACTGGATTTTGCTTGTGATAGAACTCTATACACTATACAAGTTGTATTGTCTGTTTTGCTACTGCAGTTCATTTCCTGCAATGAACCACAAGAGGGTGCTGCATGTATAAAATAAATACTGATGAAAACAGCTGTGAATTTACTTTACATTCTACTGCTCTCTATTTTTACACAAGAAAAATACTTTGGGCCTTGTTATGGAAGGCATTCTACAAACTGTGCTCAGCAGAAGTCATTTATTTTCCATTTCAGTCCCTTATGATCAATACATTCTCTACCAACTTAATTAAACTATAACATGTGCTTTAGCATCCTAATAAATGTGTTTTCCATAAAATCAACAAAAATAATTGCAGGAGAAATAAAATAGAGCATAGAGATTTTTTTTCTGTGATTAAATCTTGCAAATTATTGTATTGCCCAGCTCTCATTTTATGCATTGCTTTAGGCTGGCTATAGACAGGTTGCAGGAAAAAAAACGGGAAATGGGGGTAGGGAGCCATCCCTGGTGGAAGAACACAGTGATTACTGCTAGCGGCTATAATTGCATGTAAATTCTGACAGGCTGGTTGTACCCAAATTGATCGATCGATCGATCAACTTGGGTACATTCAGCCTACACATAAATGTTTTGATTCTTGGCCGGTCCTTGCTGAACCAGCCAAGATTTGAACCTTCTATGGCCGTCTTTGCTATTGAACTAGTAACATCATTTACGTCTTAGGGGAGATTAGAATATATAAATTGGTTAATAGACTAACACAGGAATTTTACTCACCCCAAGGGGGGGGGGGGGAACGACCTCAAAATTTAAAGTAGATCACTGACTCACCACATTAGAAGGTGGGGTCCTCAAAAGTTCAACTCCAGAAAATTTTGGGGAGACCAAGAGGGCCCCCTTAGGAAGAGGCTATATAAAGAGAACCAACCGCGGTGTAAACAATTATACCGTTTTATTGAGATCAATTCTAATATAAAGGCTAATTATCCAACAATGCTCCAGACACCATTAAAATAAAGTAAGATACCGTTATCTCCTTAATAAAAACCAAGCCCGGGCAACGCACATCCACTTACATATGCTAGATAATATATACTCTGTCTCAAATAGAGCATAACCAGTCAGGCCAGCAATCTCCAGAGTAACAGTCAATGGGTGCCAGTGTGCACAATAGTGACTCTAATGGCTACCCAAACCGTGGACACTAGAAATGATATAATGACTGTAGTCTGGAGCGTTAACCCGATTCACTAATAATCAGCAGTAACATTGATAAATGTCATAAAATGGACGTCCAGTTAGAAAGGACATTGGGACCAAATGAGGGCAGTGTAGGAAGTCCAGAGACCAGAGAAGATGAGGTGCCTCTGTTGGTAATAGAATGGTGGACTGCCAGGCTAGAGTGTGGACATGCTGGCAAAGAAAATTTCCTGGGCATTTTAGTTGGTGGGCTGGAAATGCCAATTCAGAAATGTCCATGTACAGTCTACGCTTTTAATAGGCTATCCTAAGGGACACCCATAGTGTTCACAGTGAGAGCTGTGAAAATGTAGAATAGATACCCTCAAGAGTTGGTTCTGGCTTGCTTTAAAAAAGACCTGGATTCTTTCTTGGAAACACAGAATATGACTGGATACTAACATTTATAGGTAAAGTTGATCCAGGGAATATCCAATTGCCTCTCGGGGGATCAGGAAGGAATTTTTTGCCTGCAGGAGCAAATTGGATCATGCTTTGCTGGGTTTTTTTGCCTTCCTTTGGATCAACTGTGAGTATAGGATTATAACTTTTTTTTTTTTTTTTTTTTTTTAATGGTTGAACTGCGTGGACTTCTGTATTTTTTCAGCCAGACTAACTATGTAACTATGTTAATAGTAGCAAAGTGGAGTCAGATTGTAGCATAGGGTATACATAGTGACCCTTAAAGGTAGGTAAGGCCTCTAATCATATAGTCTGAGTGGCAATAAAGTACAGCACAGATCACGGCAGCTGCCGCTTAGGTATGCCCACAGGCTCTCACCACTCCAATGTGCTAATTGTGCTCTCCTCGGTGGTGTCTCGTCCTCCACTCGAGGGATATAGTGAAGTAGATGCAGGGTGTCCTTCTGTGCTAAACCATGGATAAACTGCCTCCAAACACCAGCCAAAGGTGATGCTGCCATGAGATGCTCAATGCAGAGATCCATGTGTAGAAGGTGCACAGATATTTCCACCATCCACAGTGTTAGCGTCGGGCGGCATGGAACATCACCGCCAGTGGGGTGTGGTTTGAAGCTTGTTGACACTGCCTACATGGACATTTCTGAATCGGCATACCCAGCCCTCCCACTAACAAATGCCCAGGATATTTGCTTTGCCAGCATGTCCGCACTCTAGTCTGGCAGTCCACCATTCTATTACCAACAGGGGTACCTCATGTTCTCTGGACTTCCTACACTGCCCTCATTGCCCCAATGTGGCTATGTCCTTTCTGACTGGACGTCTATTTTATGTCATTTGTCCATGTTGCTGCTGATTATTAGTG